AACTAGGGTATGAAGGCCCTGCCATTGCATCCCAAAGCAAGAAAAATATGACAGGAAATATTTGGTCCACAGTGCTCATCCAAGTTGGCCAAGGTTTGTTTAGGCCTACAAAATAATTCAGTTTCTCTGTCTGTAAAACTGGCTTCATCACAGAATGCTTTCCTTTCCAGGTGTTCATTCCTAATAAACACCTTAGACACTAAAACTCCAACTGAGTGTCTGCTTCTGGAGAACTTAAACTATCACAATGGAGTAATTACTGATAAAGTACCAAATAGCCCTAGGGCCAGGGGAACAAAGAAAAGAAGTTGAGCTTATTAGAGTACTCATGATTAAAGGAGATCCTCTGCAGAGCAGGGACCAAGGCCCTTTAAGGAGGGCAAGTGACCAGCTAGTGCTCATGCTTCAGGAACTCAGAGGAGAATCACCCTGCTAACCCCAGAGCTGCAACTCAGATCTCTGAAGGTGTCAGTGGCTAACTGGTGCTGGTACTTCTAAGGAAGAATGAAGGTGGTTCTAACAAATCCAACAAAACTGGAACCCCAAACCAAGCATAGCTACCAGAGTGAATGGTCCCAGCCAAAATGACACTAAGTGTAACTTTTAGCACGCAGGGGATTAAACTCTCTTCTCCCCTCATCTTTCATTCCAGGCTACTTCTCTGCCCCCTTTTGGCATAGCTACCTGGAAGAGTGCTGGCAAAACAGAAATGGGGTATATAGTGGCACATCCCAGACATTACATCTTACAGAACAAAGGTGGGAGAAGGTTTAGATCTGATAAACATCAGCTTCAAAATGTGTCTTTGCTGTTCTTCTGCTCAAGGTACATAAAGAGACGACTTCCACGGAGCATCTGAGATCTTGGTCCCCAGCATGTTCTCAATTTGGCTCAAATAAATTCTTTTTCAAAAGTCTTTTTATAGATTTTAGGGAGGAAATGAGAGAGAGAGAAACATCGATGTGAGAGAGAGACATTGATCAGCTGCCTCCTGCATGCCCCGTACTGGGGATCCGAGCCCACAACCCAGGCATGTGCCCTGACTGGGAATTGAACCAGTGACTTTTCAGTGCACAGGACAACACTCAACAAATTGAGCCACATCAGCCAGGGTTCAAATAAATTCTTATAAAAATTCTTTAAAAAAAAAAAAAGAGATACATGATTGCCAGAAATAATAAACTTTTAATATTGCTTGAAACACTGAAGAGGAAGTTAAGAACATGCTAGGAATCCTTCAGTATAACATGATCCAGACATGAGAGATCCTTAAATTTTGCTTTAAATAGTAGACATGTTTGTCTACTATTAAAAAAATGAGATTTTTAAAATGAAGCAGGAGCTTTACTGTTCCTTCTCTTCCTCCTTTATCTCCTCTTCCTCCTTTACCTCTTCTCTATTTTTCCTTTTATGTTTCTTACAAAGCACAAGGAAGCGATACAAAAAGAAAGCAAACAAAGGACCAAGGCACAATAACGACACGTAAGCCAACTTTGCCTCTGGTCCTTGGTTCTTAGGAGGTGGGCCGCTATCATCACTACCTCCATTGCCCTTGTGCGTGCAGTTGGGAGGTGCCCACCCACGGTTGCAATGGCAATGCTGTTTATTATTGCAGACCCCATTCATGTGGCAGGTCTCACACCGACAGTGCTGTGGCAGATGGACCATACTGACACACTTCTGGTAGATGCCCATCTTTTCTGGACCACACACTGTGCCATCTTTCACTCGACCAATATCAGGTATGGACATCCCCAAATGATAATCAATACCCCAGCAAGTGGTGTCACTGAACTGACCCTGAAGTCCTGTAGCATGTTCTACCAGATTAGGAATAACTGACATGTTCTCACACTGAACTCTCCCACAGAGGATGTCTGCGGTATTACATTTGAGGTATGCCGTGCCAGTTAGACCACAGTGGCCAAAACGGTTTCCCTGGGAGTTGATTTCTTTACAGCAATTCTGAGACGCACTCTTTGCGCCTTCACCAAAAATCTCCCTGCACTGTTTGTCACGGCCATTACATCTCTTTTGATAGCAGTAGGCACCGTCACTACAGGGAATCCCATCCTGCACATATACATCTTCTGGGCACTGATGGAATGTCCCATTGCACCACTCTGGAAGGTCACATTCACCCATCTGTTGTCTGCACAAAGTCCCTGATGGCATGAACTTGCAGTCTTTGCAACACAGCCCAAAAGCACAAGCAGCACCAGGCCTCAGAGTGCAGTTCAGCAGACAACAGGGGTGATGTTCACACTGCTTTGTAGGTCCACAGTCACACTCCTCTCTCTCTTCAACAACTATGTTCCCACAATACTGTAACCTGAAAACATTCCCTGGATATGGAGGAGGGTAAATATACATGCCTTTACTCATAGTGTGGTCCCAATAGTAGGCACAACTGCAGTTGCTGAATTTAGTTGTCCCCTGCACGGTAGGAGCCATTATGCACCACTGGGAAGCACACACACACACACACCATTCAGTGTCGTGCTGATTACCCAAATTATGACCAAGCTCATGGGACACAGTAATGGCAAAAGAATACAGACTCTTGCCTTGGAATATACCAATTCCACAATTAAAAGGATGCTGGCATAGTCCTCCAATGTAGGCAATACCAAGCTTTCTGCCAAAATATTTTTTTATGAAAAGACGGGCATCATCATGTTGCAGTCAGGCATCAAGTTGGAGAAGCTTCCAGGAAGCAGAGTCTTCCAGCATCTGAACTATGTCATCGGTGGGAATTTGGTTTCCTTTATCCCAGACCTCAATTCCAGTCAAAATTACATCAACCTTGAAAGGCTGATAGAAGATACCCAATATATTGACAACATCAAGTACTTCACGCTGCACTAGGGACACATTACTTTCAGAGAAAAGGTATCGGAAATGGTCCACAACCACTACCAGCTCAAGATATCGCAAGTGAGTCCACCAGCCCACATAAGAACTTTGCATCAGAGTGGACCTATAAAACTCTCGCAACTCCAATTGGCGTGCTATTTTCTCTTCTGTTAAGCCCCATCTCATAGGTGGGAGCTGTATATCATCACTATCTATCTTATACACCAGGTGTTCAAATGTGGCAGAAAACCTAATTGGCTCGATTCCATAAGCAAGGTCACTTATCTGTAGCATTCCTCGAAAGCCTCCAGAACAGGTACTGAGGGCAACCAGGGACTCGGGACACCCTGCACATAACCATGATAGTAGCAGTCATCAGGAACAAAAGGCTGATCCTCCTGGAGGACATGCTGGTCCGTGTAGGTGAACACTGGTAGGTGTCTGGAAGCCAAGAGCTTCTTGACCCTCATGTTGACAATGTGTCTTTGGCCCCCAAACTGAAGGCTGTAGGAGAGCCAGCCCGGAGCCTTAGCATCTCTGCCCCTGCTGGGCACCTTCAAGGGGATCACAACTTCTCGGGAGGAGAAGCGCTGGGAGGGGCTGGCCTGAGAGTGGCCAGAAATGGACAGACACTCCCCAAACCACAGCAGCAGAAGACTGACCTTGATGTGCATCGGGGCCTCACCCGCTGCCATTATGGAACTATCATTATGGAGCCACCTGTCCATGGTAGAGGAGAGGGCCGGGCATGAGGCGCTGCTGGTACAGTTTCTCCCTTTGAGCTGCTCAGGGTGCAGGGCTGACCTTTACAGATCTGTCTTGGAAGAGCTGGACCATCAGAGCTGCAGTGCTCGAAGTTGAAAACAGAGCTAAAGAGCGGTGGGTAGGGTAGGAGGGTGGGGGAGAGGGGGAGAGAGAAGAAAGTGGCGTAAAAAGTGATTCTTCAAATGGGACAAGGCTTGAATCAGTAAAATACCCGAGGTTGCTCTTATACATATGTAAGGGGAGGAGGTGGCAAAAAGGTAGGATTCCAGAAAAACAGATGAAGGAGATTTATCAGGTGGATTATAGTTGAACCTGTATGGGAGATACATAAAGTTTCCTTACAGACTATTCTCTAAACATGTAAACTGGCATAAAAATTTTCCACATTAAAAAAACTGACATCTGACTTCCAAATTTCTCTTCTATCCCAAATCTACCGATGCTCTGCTATCTTCAACAAGTACGTGGACACCCCATCCAAAACCCGACATTGTTGGTCCCTTTATTCAAACAGTTTGTTCCATCTCTTTTCTTCTGCAGACATCTTATCTACACACCCCCCCCCATTCTGTTTGAAGTTACCAATCAAAGTAAGCCCCACTTAAGGGACTCATTAGTTTTGAGAGACCCCCTCCAATGAAGATAATTTTTTATTTTACAATGCAATCTTATCTGCAGAAAAGACTGGACGAATGTCCAGGGAGGCAGCCATACTGATGGAGTAACAGGGAGTGGGGCTGCTATTTTGGGGCAAGGCAGACAGCCTGATTGCCTCTACTCACAGCATGACGGCAGCAGCCTTTTCTCTACCCCGCCCAGTGCATCATGCTCTCAATCATAAGAGACTCATCCTGGCTGCATAAACACAGATTCTATTACATGTTTTACATGGCTGGCGAATTAGCTGAGCTCTCTAGAGAAAGCTGGACTGAAGAGTTTAAACCGAGAATCAGTTTGTTAAAATGTTCAAAAGACCACAATTCAAGTGGCCTTACATCACGACTCCTATTGCAAACATAAATTTTAGCTCAGGCAAAAGCTAATTTTTCTCATTCACTGACTTTCAGTTAAAAGTATCCCCAGGCACCAGAAGGTTGCCGGTTTGATTCCCAGTCAGGGCACATGCCTGGGTTGCGGGTTTGATCCCAAGTAGAGGGCGTGCAAGAGGAAGCTGATCGATGTTTCTCTCTCTCTCTCCCCCTCTCACTTCCTCTCTCCCTCAAATCAATAAAAACATAGTTTTTTTTAAAAAGAAAAGAATGCCTGCATACATCTGGATAATATTCCAGAACTAATGGGTGGCTACTGAAAACCAAGAATGCTAGATGAAACCTTTTAGAGAAAGCATCTCTGACAGAGGTGAAATCCTAATGACCAGATTTCCTCTTCATGACTGTCATGATATCCTTGGTACTTGCTATAGATCTGGGGTTATTAAGATGGATACGCATTTGGAAGAGAATTATTAACAATAAAATGTTATAAAGAAAATAACCCATACTAAATTTTGTCAGAAACATGATGTGGCGGTAATAGAAAAGTTTACTGACGAAAGTCTTTGAGGGTGCTCACCAGTCTCTGTCACCACTGCATGACTCCAAAGACAAGCTCTGAGGGAATATCTAACCTTACCATCAATGATGTGATGGTACTGATGTTACTCCAAAGCCCTTCTTTTCTAGCATTACCGGCACTTCAAGCAGTGTATCCTCTGTAGCAATCATTAATTCTTTCCTCTACAGGTGTCCCAAAAACATGTATACACACTTTCACAGCTGATAGCTCAACTGATGTTTCCTTCTTTTCAGTCAGACTAAGCTTTAAACAGAGGAAACTCATCCTAAAATGCTACTGGAATTTTGAAAATGCAGTTGAAGTGCAAACACTGCCTTTATAATTATTCAAAGCGTGTATACATTATTGGGGGGGTCTAGGGTTTCCCCTCAAAAATGTATACACACTTTAACAGTCGATAACTCAATTTTCACTCCTTTCCAGGTTTAGCTGATTTGAAATAACGCGCGAAGCCAGACTAAGCTTAGAACAAAGAAAACTTATCCACTAGACTTTTTTATGAGGATACAAAAAAGATAAAGTTTATGGTACAAAACTGGCAACAGCTGACAAATTGAAGGCGCACAAATACTGAAAAAAATGATTCTTGATGTTTGCAGCTCCGCTGCTTCAAGTTATCAGCGATGCCTGGACCCGAACGGTCATCAGTTTGAAAACAGGCATTGACAAAAGAAAGTATTCATTTCTGTAGATTCTTTTAAATTTTGAAAATGAACTATACGTTAATAAACACTTGACTTTTTATAATAATTTGAAATATGTATACATTTTTTTTGGCACCACCTATATTTCCGACAGCTATTTCAACTCCTTAAAACTCCTATCTTCCATGCCTCCATTCACTCTCAATCTCGGGCTAATTCAGTGTTTCACAAACTTGAGTCACAAACCATACAGGGCCATGAAATCGATTTAGTGAGCCACAGCTAAATAAGACATAAAAATAAATAATATCAGGGCTGGCTTTAGCTCAGCAGTTCCTTCAAAACGAGCATTTGCTTGTCAACCACTCTTGTGAGGTTGGTCCGAGTCCCGTGGGCGCCCTCCAGCCCTTTCAATAATAAGAGTAAGAAGAATAAGAATATCATACAGCTTCACAGAGATCACATTCATGTCACCTGCCATTACCTGTCACAAGAGAAACTATAGCAGCATTTGGCAGCCCTTTCTTATGCTGATTATCAGGTATTTCCTAAACTCCAAAACTAAAACTTTTACTCTGTCTATGAAGCTGGAGCTAAGACTCTGCATGGTGTATTTCTCCATTGCTATTTGCCTTCCGGAATGAAGTTCTACCAATCAGGGCACTAGAGGGAGAATGAAAGACAAAAGGAGAGAACAAGGGACTTATTACCACCTATTTGCCTGCTGTTACTTTCTGTGAATCCCCAGCAATGATGCCTTGCTCTGGTGGTGAGGGTAGGTTACCACAAAGACCCAGAACCAGTTCCATCAAGGCCTATCACAGGTACAAGTATCCGGGGGACAGTGAACCCTCCTGAGAACCACTTGTATAGAGCCATGCTCCAGTACCCTAGGCAACCCACAACAGTCAGCCAGTGTCCCTCTCTGATGTTCCAGGTCACACCACCACCTGCCTTGGTACAAGCCCCACGTATGTAGCACCTCTCTCCGAGATCCGAGTCACAGTTTTGGAGGAACTTCTTCCAATTCCCTAAGAAGCCAGCACCAACTCAGCATTACTTTATAAGAGGTACAGCTATCAGCTCCACAATGCTCCTTTTCTGAGTTCCTAAATTACCAGCATCGCCTGGGCAATGCCCTATCTTCTACAGTCCAGGTCTAGATCTATGAGGCCCGTTATAAGAGTTTCTATGTTATGATAACCTCGACCTCTTCCTTTTGTTCCCCCATTCTTAGGGGTGGGTCTCCTTCTGGCAACTCCTACCTATGTACCTCAGTATTGTTTCCTTTTTACCTTTTCCGGTCTCTAGCACCTTTTAAAGAATTCCCTATATTAATTACGCTTGGTGGATTTTTTTCTTCTGGACTAGATCCTGACAGATACAGAACTTGGTACCAAGAGTGCTGCCGAGAGAGACAGACAAAACGGGACTCTGGGATTGGTTTGGGCATGTCCATGGCTTTAACACACTGCTGAACTCCTGTCCAATGAGGAACGAGCATGTACTGGCATCATAATTAAACTGCCACCGAATGTGGATTGTGATGAAGTGCCCTATTGAAGCAAGTGTGTGGGGACCCAGCTGTGATGGTAAGTACCTCAAGGACTGAGGAGCAGGTTGGCTATACTGAATTCTCCTGCAGAATTTATACAATGAAGCTCACAGTTCTAAATTCTCAGCTCAGAGAGCTGATAATCGTGGACCTAAAAGAATGTCTCCTTTCTTTCAGACACAGAGTCAACCTCATAGAAAGTCAAATTTTAATTGTGGAGTTAGAGAACCCCAGTGTAAGTTGAATACATAGATTTGCCAAGACTTGAGCGGGAAAGTTAGGATGCTGAGAAGGGGGAAAACCTTGACAGCTGCAAAGGGGAATTCCAGCTGGACTTGACTGATTCTGAATATCTAGAGCCTGCAAGTATCTGAGTCTCCTTTAGCAGGGAGAGAACCCAGCCCTCTCCCGAGAGAAGTCTAGCCACCTCTAGCTTGAGACCCTGTCATTATCTCAGCTAGGGAAGTTGCCCTGCAAGGGAATGTCTAGTCTCCTCAAAATGTACTCTTAACACCCTTTATTGGCTCTAAATGCAAATCAGAATCTAATTCAACATGTTCCAGAGGAATAAGTTCAATCTGAATTGAGAGGAAAGAACTTCTACTCCAGAATAATTACAATATTTTACTAACTCACACTGGCAAAATTAAGGAAACAAACCATATTAATAGAAATGATGAAGTAGTTACATAAAGATACATTTAATATAAAATTCAACAGGAATATGTATCTAAATAAATAGCTTCAAAGATATAAAGCACTCTAGTGTTTCTCTTCAGAGCGTACAAATCTTTCCCCTTTTACAAAATATATAAAGCAAATGTTGAGAGATCAAAAGGAGAAAGAGAAAAATCCAAAATCTGCTTGTAGGTATTAACACACTTCTCTGAGCAACTGATAGATCAGACCAAAAAACCAAACCAAAACAAAAAGATTTAAGCAAGGTTTATCAAATTAACCTAATTGACACATATAAAACACGACATCCAACAATTGCAGAATACTCACTGGGTTCAAATGCACTCAGGCCCCTCCCTAGTGGTGATTTCCTGGAAGGCCCCGTGCCCCCAGCACCAGCCTGTGCTTGGAGAGCGGCACCCACAGCATTTGTCTACAGCCTAAGAGCCTCCTGGTTTCCAGACGACTGCCAGTGTTCACCTACACAGAGCAGCACACCCTCCAGGAGAGCCAGCCCGTTGTCCAGGATGACTACTACTATCATGGTGATGTGGAGTGGCCCGAGTCCACACGCTCCTCTGTACCTGTTTGGGGGCCCTTCAAGGGATGTTACAGATAAACAATCTCGCTTATGAAATCGAGCCCGCCCGCCCGTAAGGCACTCTACCACATCTGAACACCAACTGTATAAGATACACAGTA